ATGAAAATCAATTTTATATGAGGATGGACTTCCCTTTAATATAGAGGGTCGGGTGACATCCCAATATAAGTTTATTCCTGTTGATGTGCAGGGCTGCATACAACTCATATTTTGTTATACTCATAGATTTTCAAATATTTTCAAAATTTTCTCAGACCTGCTATGCTCCACCCTAAAAAAAATGCTTCAGATCTCATTCATCTTGTGACATAATTATTCTGTCAATCAGACAGTGAGCTAACAAGAGACAGTGGTGTGTATAGCTTCAGCAGAGCTGATCACCTGTTTACAATAGACCATACAATACCAACATATGAGTTGCTATGTCAGACGTGCTGTAGCATCACCAGGAAACGAAAGGTTTTCGTGGAGGTACTGGATGAAAGCATTCAATTCGTTTGTGAGCATGTGCTGAGCTGGGGGAAGTATAGACAAAAGGTAGTCATACAAATTCACCGCATGGACACACAGATTAACGCTTGGTAAACTCAGTCACGTATTTTATTAAGTAGATCAATTTAGGTAATTGCAGAGACGTGAGTGCAATAATGAAAGGCATACTAAGGCATTGGTCACATCATCACAAGAATAATAATACAAATACTATCAAATATTAATGGGAAATTATTTTAATTTGACACACTGAACAAGCACGCTAAATGGGTGAGAGATTGTAAAGCAAGCGCTATATGAGCGCCCAGCAGGGGCGGGTACTGGCGCTATATACACAAATCCTTCATCATCATCATCATCATCATCATCATCATCATCATCGTCGTCGTCTTCACCATAACTATATTCATCATAACCAACACCTTTGTTATCCGTATCACATCACCATCAGCACATCATCATCATCGTCGCCATCACCATCATCCTCCTCCTCATCATCATCACCATCAGCACATCATCATCATTTTCATCAACACCATTATCCCCCTCCTCCTCTTCATCACCATCATCATTGTCGCCATCCCCAGTATCCTCCTCCTCTTCCTCATCATCATCATCATCATCGTCGTCATCACCATCATCCTCCTCCTCCTCATCATCACCATCATCATTGTCGCCATCCCCAGTATCCTCCTCCTCCTCTTAATCATCATCATCATCATCGTCGTCATCACCATTATCCTCCTCCTCCTCCTCGTAATCACCATCATTATTTTCACCATCAGCCAGCAGGCCACACAGGCTTGTGGATATGAATGTAAAAATTATATGAAAAATTCATTTTATTATGTACTTTTCTGGGTCAATTCTATTGATGCTGGCGATCAAGTATGAGGCCAAGTCCATGTGAAATTAACCCTTTGCCTTTAATCGCTAATAGGTTCATCTAATATTAGTGATGTAATTTCAAAATTACTTCTCTCATCACAATCAGTGTCAAAAATGACCTGCTTTTGTCAAGCCTTCACGTGATGTATGGCAGGTTTCTTCAGACCTTTGTCGTAGCTGGCGCCGTTGCTTATTCAGTACGACGAACAATGACCGTCAGCACACACTCACGAGACAGCGTCAAATCACAGGGGGGGGGGGGGGGTTGTTTCATGAAACCGTCACAAATACATGAACAGAATGTGACATACTTTCTTACTCTCAATTCGGTTTTCGTTAAAAATACAACTCACACAATGCTCATATTTATAAATAAAGTCACTCAAGCAATTGATGATTATTCACACACCATTGATTGGAATATTCTTGGACTTCTCCAAGCGTTCGACACTATAGATCACAAAATTTTATTATATCTCTCGCACTATGGTATGACAGGAAAGGCCTTGGAGTGGTTCAGCAATTACTTGCAAGACAGGACCCAATTTGTCTCAGTTAAGAATTGCGAAGCAACTGTCAGCCAAGTCCTCTCCAAAAATAACTTACTTTCAATAGAAGCAGAAAAACCAGACAGAGCAATCAAAAAAAGTTTGAGCAAAATCGGATAACTAATGAGAAAGTTATGAATTTTTGAAAAAGTATGTAAAACTTTGGAACAATGAAAATCACAAGACAAATTGGAAACTCACTCATGAGTCTGTGACGTCATGTCCTCTCTATCCAATAATTGTTTTCTTTATATTGATAATATAAATTTCCTATTTCCCCCCTAAGAATCTTATCTTTTCACACCAGCATCCAAGTTAGATTGATAGTAATATGTTTTTGTGTGGATGCACTAATATAGAGTAATTTCTTTCAGTTAAATCATGAAAAATGTGAATTTTGATAAACTATTTATATAAAAATCAATTATTATGAATATACAATATTCAGAAAATCGTATCAATTCTTTAAAGTCCAAAAAAGATTTTGTGAAATGTCATGCACGCAATATGATACAAATCATATAACCTGGGCAAAGACATGGGGAAGTCAAGTTTTGGGGGATAAAAAGAGAAATTAATGGGATTAAACTATAAAAAGCAATAGATAAATAGTGAGGACATGACGTCACAAACAGATAACCAAATTGGCAATTTGTGTACTGATTTCCATTGTTCTATAGTTTTACATACTTTTTCAAAAATTCATAACTCTCTTATTAGTTACCCGATTTTGCTCAAACTTTTTTTGATTGGTTTGTCTGATTTTTCTGCTTCTATTGAAAGTAAGTTATTTTTGGAGTGGACTTGCCCTTTAAGTGCCCTTTCTCACATGTAATTTCGAAATTATCTAGTGTAAATGCAATACAAACTTATGCTGTGTAGATGTCTTTATTGTTCATGAATATCAATTTGGTAAATATGCTATGCTTTGTTAATGCACTGTTTTTTTCATGTGAAAGAAAAGAAAGTAAACTGAATCTAAAACTAAAGTATTTCACAAAACTGTCTTTCCCAGATTAGCGAACTCTTCCCCGACAAGAGACTTGTAGTCGCTACTCCCAGTGGCGGATCCAGGGGGCACAGGTGCCCCCCGGCCCCCCAAAAATGTTGTAAAATTCGCCCAAAATATACTGAAAAACAGGGGCGTGCCCCCCCCCCCCCCCAGCAAAAAAAAAATATTCCAATGGCTGACCTAAAAAGGTGACCTTACCCCCCCCCCCCAACGGTGCAAAATGTCAAATTTAAAAATTCGTGACCAAAAAAAAAAGTGTCCTCTTACCCCCCCCCCCCCTCCCCCACTAAATATATATATATATATATATGTTCTCTTTCCTACCGTGTGCCCCCCCCCCCCGTGTGCCCCCGGCAAGAAATTCCTGGATCCGCCTCTGACTCCAAACCCGTTTATTATTTTAGAATGCCATCTCAAGTCAACTTTAAGTTAGTGTTTGGGCATCGAAAAGTTGAAAACTGAAAATTCCTTTTAAAAAACATTTTTGATCTTCAAGCTCTTATTTCACTAATAAGATCTTACTTGTGTTAATATAAAAGTATTATACAAACATACATACAAGCATACAAACTGTTCCTATAAGGTTTTAGTGCCTTAATGAGTAAATAAGATAAATATTATTTGTACATAATTATATCGGTCCAACATTAAGAGAATGACGAAAATTTTCGTGCAGGTATCTCTCTAGATATATTTTTATTTTCAAGCATTAACCTCGATACAAATTATATCACATAATTATTTGATAAATAAATTTTAAAACTACGAGTCATAAAATAACTTTTTTCTCATACTATAGAAATAAAATCAAGGTCTTCTTTCGATTGGATATGAGTTATGGTATCCTCTTACTTGCAAATGTAGATTCTATATATATATCATTAATAACACTCCGTCAGTACATGGTGCGGTTTTTGACGCATGACGTAAGAGTTGCATAGTACAAAAAGTGAATACAAAATATACAGTGTAAACACTGAATTTCTAGTGTACGGGCCAGTTGCCTTCGCAGGCTTGTTTGGCGCAGGAAACAGCGCAATCAAAATGACGCTTCGTGTGCAACGGATCTAAGTTTCATCTTTGTATAAGTAGTAGAAATACAATATAGAACAGATACTTCACAAGTTTGAATGGAGCAGGAAAAATAGCGCATTCGAATCGACGACTCGTGTGCAACGGGTCTAGGTATCTCATGTTATATTCGTTGTTTCATCTTCGTGTAAACGTATGTTGCAATGCTAAATAGATCGACTACTTCAAACAGGGTCAGGATACTTCCCCGAGCCATAGTCCAAGCGAACCACCAATGTCACCTGCCATGAAAACACACAGAGAGAATCAAAATTACGATAGAAAATGATAATGAGATCGAACCTAAGAAAATAGTTAAAGAACAATAATTGATGAGTACGCGTAGGAGAATAACTAAACATCACTGCCATCACTTACATCCGATTCAACTATACCCGATCAACTATAACCCTGTCAAATATCCGAACAAGTATATTTAGACTATCACCCTATAGTAAGCGTATTCTTGGACAACTATACTGCTTTATATCCCGCATACTAAGAATCTTGCAATCTGATTGGTCTAAACGAGGTCACATGATCAATGATAGATTTACCATCACTTCATGGCCGTGAGCTAGGGGTGTGATAGTACTTTTGTACAGCACAAACTATCATCCCCTCGGTGATCTCTAGTGTACATACACTGTAAACAGTATAATAGGTTATGTGTTGACAAGTTCATCGTTCTTTCGGATTTATACCAGTTTTATTAACTTATTAACTGAATTGAAATACGATGTGGGATATAAAACAAACATTAACCTCCTTTACTCGGGCAATGGATACAAACTATCATCGCCGAGCGGCGATGGATGATAGTAGCCCCGAGATCACCTCGGGTTATAGTTTGTACCATTACCCTCGTATAGTCGGTTAATATTTGCTTAAGGACATTTTAACTCATAATAAAACTATTCCCAGACAATTAACTAATTAACTGCGAGCGAATTAGCGCCCACACATGTTGTATACTGTTAGTACTGTGTTAATTGGAAAACGCGAAATAGAGTCTCAGCCAAAGACGTGCCCCCCCCCCCCCCCGGATTGCCGCCTCTGCATATAAATCTCCTACTCACATAACAAACTGAAGAACGGGTATTTGATCTGTTGCGAAATAGTTTCGATGCTCAGCTCCTTCATGAATATCACAAGTGAACATATGTTATCCCTGATAGGAGGGGGGGAGAGACAACAGGGAAAAAATATTGGATTAACATTGTGAATTATGAAAAAATGATATTCGTTAAAGAGCTTCCGGGTCATTGGATGCAGTAACCTTTTTGCACAGTGTAATGCAGTACACATTTTATATTCAAATAAAGAAGATTCCATCCAGTCTCTATGGTTATGAAACACGCAAACTATTATATAACTGCATCTACCAAAAACATCTCAACCTGAGTTTATTTTGATAAGTCTGTTCCGTAATTTAATTTTGGGGACAATAACGTACAACCAATCAACTCTTTGTTTCTTGTTGTTGTCAAGGCGGACATTAACAAGTTCTACACAAAATGAAATATTAAGTTTATTCTTCTGGGGATCATTCAAGTGACAAAGAGTTATAATTACAAACATCTATAAACTTCTTATTTCTGTTACACATTTCCATTGTGTCATTCATTATACCTTCGCTAATTAAACCTGAGAAACCAATTTGCTCCCACGCTAGTTATCAAAGAACTATTGAAAACGTCGATTTAAAAAAAAAAATTAATTTCTGTATGATATCACTATAGCATGGCACGCCAAAGAACTCGACAGCAGCTATACGTCAGCTAACATTGCAACGGACATTGTGGTGATGACGTAGGAATGCGAAAGAGTGAGAGAGACGTCATACATGAAGTGAATGCAAAACAAACAGCGCCAACATTGCGTCAAATTACTGGCGCCTTGGCTTATATTCCTTCACACGCTTGATTAGCACACGTGGCGGTCCGAGTTCTCGTCGTGTAAAACGAAAAGTCCCTACCGTTGCGCCCAAGGCGTCGTTTCAGTTGCGCTATTAGGGACTTTTCGTTTTACACGACGAGAATGTGGACCGCCACGTGTGACATCCTTTTAAGGTAATGTGACGTCCTTTTAAGGCACTGCCGGGCACGGCCCAGTGCCTTAACACAATGGCACACGCGGCAGTCCACGCTCTCGTCGTGTAAAACGAAAAGTCCCTAATAGCGCAACTGAAACGACGCCTTGTGCGCAACGGTCATTACCTGAAATGTTCCGGCGTCACCTGTAACTGGTCAGCTGCGTAGGTAGACCAGTGCAGTGACGGAGATGTCAAAGTAGATACCGATGGTTTATATTGCCGATTGAAGCATGGGACCGGGCAATGGCACGACTGCTCAATCACACCTTGGGTATAAGAATCTGTCCAGAAAAGAAAAAAAAAAGATAGCAGAATAACAGTAAAAATGTTGTAATTGTCATAAATTATATTCCAAGGTATAGCTGCATGGATGTAATATGGCTCGTTCTTACTATGACGCGAACACCGCGGTTTTTGTTGTTGTTATCTATTACGTGTAAATTAATATCAAAGTGGGATTGTAACTTGTGTCAATTTTCAACTAATTTTTCTGATATTGGTAAGTTATTCATGGTCCTTAATTCATAACATGAATACGATGCAGTGAAAAGTGGAAGATTATCTATGAAATGGCATTTTTGTACCCAAATTGCTATTTTAATTTTGTAGGGCTCATTATCTACTCCATTATTAATACACCGGCTCTCATAAGGTTACCGATTTCGGGGCTCACAGCACTTTTCCAGCACCTCCAGAATCTCGACACTTTTATTACCATTTCTTCTACCTTTTCCAAAACTGCCCAATTTTCTGGTTCTAGTTACAATTTGCAGGCCAATGCCAATACTGATAAGCCAGTTTACGGTTGCAGTCTGAGCATGAGCAGATAAAGGTCATTTGTACCAAAAAGGTAAAACCCACAGAGAGGAATACTTGATATGCGCTCATGAAAGTTATGTAACATTATTCATTTCTGCACCAACGGTACATTCTAAGATACGCAGGTGGAAGTATTCTTTTCAAGAGGGCAAAACAAAAATATTCATGAAGCACATCTAGGATTTTGGCAGTTATTATTTTAAGAGGCTCAAAGTGGAACTTCTCCATGTGTAAAAGATCTGTGGATATTTGGGGTCATTTGTACCATGTGCTATCTGTAAACTCCCTTATACCAATAAGTCTGAACAATGAGCTTTAATTTAGCGATGCTCACCGTACGAAGGAGTCATGCAATCGAAGAACTCATAAGCTGTGCATTCCCGTGCTGGGGCTGTGTACGGGGCAGATAAGGAAGAAAATCACATCATAAAAACAGGTTTAAATTCCCTCTAAAGTGTTAGGGGTCTCAAATCTTTTGATGGCAAAATTTCACTTAAATTTATATAAAGATGTGAAAGAGGATGTCATTAGTAGGTTTCTCCAATGGTAGGTTTGTCCAATAATGCCGAGTTTGTGCCACGGAACCTAGTCGGACATTTCGATTATATTGTTTTTATGTCATACGTCTTTATCCTTTTTTTGTTTTTCTTTAAATATTTTTTATAGTTTAGTCTACCTTGCTGATACCTCCTCAAAATATATACGATAGACTATCATTAATTCTGCTGCATTACCATATAGCTTACTTAGAGGTTACTGCAGATCAATCACCTGTACTGTATCTAGAGTATAGTTAATTAGTGTAGGAGAACAGTAAAAACAGTGGGGCCATTGAAGGAGCGTTCACGTCGCGGTCCGTCAGATGAAAATCTGCGAATCCTTCAACCACACTACTCAAGTTTCTTTTAGTAACTACCACAACCAACACCATGGCTACCAATGACAATGATGACCAATTTGTTGCTGAGGCCCAGGGTCGAACTCATGGGTCCTTGTCAGGACCGGCCCTGAGTATCATCTCATCCAACATTGAAGGTCTTTCAGGCGCCAAACAAGAACTCTTGGCTGACCTATGCATAGCAACCAACTGTGACATTCTCTGCCTCCAGGAGACCCATCGCGGGCCTACACGAGTTCGCCCTCGTATCTCCGGAATGACCCTCATCGCAGAGAGACCACATGACCAATACGGAAGTGCAATCTTTGCCCGTAATGGTCTTGCTGTGGACAAATCTTACCTATCAGACATCAATAACATTGAAGTCCTTTCTATTGACCTAATGGGAATCACCGTAAGCTCCGTGTACAAGCCACCTCAAGAGCCTTTCGACCTGCCCGGCAGAGCTACTGACGGCAGGATGAATGTGGTCATTGGTGATTTCAACAGCCATAGCATTTCCTGGGGATATAGAGAAATGAACGAAGATGGTGAACTCGTTGAGACATGGGCAGATGCTAACCAGCTGTCCCTCATTCATGACGCTAAGCTTCCTGCCTCTTTCAACAGTGCAAGGTGGAGACGTGGCTACAACCCTGACCTGATATTTACATCTACCAGGATTGCTAACCAGTGCGAGAAAGTCATTCTCGACCCAATCCCTCACTCCCAGCACCGACCGATAGGGCTTAAGGTTAAAGCAGTCATTACTCCACGAGCAGTACCCTTCCGACGTCGTTTCAACCTGAGGAAGGCAAACTGGGAAAAGTTTGCTAAGGACTTTGACTCCTACATCCAGGACCTACCTGCCACCCCCCAAAACTACGACACCTTTGTAGAGTTGATGAAGAAATCGTCAAGGCGTAACATCCCCCGAGGATGTCGCACAAGCTACATTCAAGGCTTGACGGACCACTCCAAGGTGATGTATGAAGACTACATCGAACACTTCCAGATGGACCCCTTTAGTGAGGAGACACTGGAATCTGGAGAAAATCTGACCAAGGAAATTGGTGAATCTAGAAGGAGGAAGTGGCAGGAATTCATTCAATCCACTGACATGACACATAGCAGCAGGAAGGCATGGAAAACGATCCGGATACTGGGCAATGACTATACAAAGGCCCAACCAAGATCTGAAGTCACTGCTGACCAAGTTGCCCATCAACTCCTATTGAATGGTCGGGGAAACCCTGACCATCACCCCAGAAGAGCCAGACTCCCTAAGGTCCCAGACGCTCTAAGCTCTCAAGATGACCCAGGCTTCACTAGACCGTTCACCATGGACGACCTGCTTGCTGCCATCAAAGCAATGAAAAACAACAAAGCTGCTGGACTTGATGACATCCTCTGCGAGCAGATCAAACAGCTTAGACCAGGCGCCCTCAACTGGCTTCTCAAAATGTTCAACGAATGTTTGGGCACCAACAACATCCCAAAGCTCTGGAGGAAATCCAAAGTTATTGCCCTATTGAAGCCTGGTAAAGACGCAGCCAGTCCAAAGAGCTACAGGCCTATCTCCCTACTGTGCCATACATATAAGCTGTTCGAGCGGCTTATCCTTAACCGCATCGCCCCATTCGTGGATGAACATCTCATTCCAGAACAAGCAGGGTTTAGGCCAGGAAAATCATGCACTGGCCAACTCCTAAACCTCACTCAGTTCATCGAGGACGGGTATGAGAGTAAGCTAATCACCGGAGCTGCTTTCGTTGATCTCTCTGCTGCCTACGACACCGTGAACCACAGAATCCTTACCAGGAAGATCTTTGAGCTGACAAAGGACGTGAGACTGACTGGACTCATCCAGACGTTGCTGTCCAATCGGCGATATTTTGTGGTTCTCAATGGGAATCGCAGCAGATGGCGCAGACAGAAAAATGGCCTACCACAAGGAAGTGTGCTCGCACCGTTACTCTTTAACGTGTACACGAATGACCAACCGATCCACCCAAACACCAGGAGCTTCCTCTACGCCGATGATCTCTGCATCGCCACCCAGAACCAGTCTTTTGTGAAGTTGGAGGAGTCCCTCAGTGATGCCCTGGCCGGTCTCATCCCATACTATGCGACCAACCACCTGAGAGCTAACCCTGATAAAACTCAGATAAGCGCATTCCACCTCAAGAACAGGGATGCCAACCATCAACTAAGGATCAGCTGGTATGGGAAAAGGCTGAAGCACACTCCCAACCCAGTCTACTTAGGCGTCACACTCGATCGCTCCCTTACCTACAAGAACCACATTGCCAACACAAAGGCAAAAGTTGGAGCCCGCAACAGCATCCTCAAGAAGCTAGCCAACACCAACTGGGGGACTGATGCCAGAACAATCCGGACGACAGCCCTCGCGCTTTGCTTCTCTGCTGCGGAGTATGCATCACCAGTATGGAGTAGGTCGGCCCATGCACCCAAGATTGACCCAGCTCTAAATTCATCTTGCAGAGCGATCACTGGATGCCTAAGGCCAACTAAAGTAGAAGACATCTACCTGCTCTGCGGTATTGCCCCTCCACACGTCAGAAGGTTGGTCTTGTCCCAGAAAGAAAAGGACAAACAAGAAAACAATCCACTCCACCCACTCTTCGAACAACAGCCAGTGGGCAAGCGGCTCAAATCCAGACACAGCTTTCTGCACTCGGTAGAGCCTCTTAATACTAGCCCTCACAACCAAAGGATGACTTTGTGGTCTAACCACCTTCAGACCACTCCACATAAACTCTCCCTCAGCCCGAAGGAATCCCTCGCAACCGGCTCCAGTGAGACTTGGCCTACCTGGCTTAGCCTCAACCGCCTAAGAACTGGCTACGGTCGATGCAGAGTCCTAATGCAGAGGTGGGGTCTAGGAGACGAACAAACGGCATGTGAATGCGGCCAGGAACAGACAATGGAACACCTGCTAGTCTGCCCACTCCTGCCAGAGCCATGCACCCAAGATGACCTGGAAGCCGTTAATTGCCGTGCTAAAGCCTGTGTGGACCACTGGACGGGACTTGTGTAGTGACTCGATAAGAAGAAGATTAGTAACAAACACTTCTGCAACGATATTTAACATATATACATTTTAAGGCCAATATTTGATGACATAATACATTTAAGTTTTTTGTTGTACGCAGAAAACCTAGATACTTATATCATGGAGTTACTAACTATATTCTTTCATCAATATTCGTTTTCAAACTCATTTATCTAAAAAATTCCTTGCAGACGGGTGTGTGTTAAATGACATCCTCTTTCACATCATTATATAATTCAAGTAAAGATTTGCAATAAAATTGTTGAGGCCCCCAACACTTTAGAGGGGCTTTCACTCTATCTAGACAGGTATTTATAAATTACAAAACTATTTGGTAGTTATTACCCAAAATGTGTAGCAACTTCTTTCTAAAATTCTTGATTTAGTTAAATTAACGTTCATTACCATAAATGGACAACTACTTCCGGGATAGCCTATCCGATATGCGTCGGGCTTTACAAGTATACTAATCGCGTTTATTTGGAGAGTGACATCGACGCGGGCGTCAGCCCGAGCGCCTATCATCACTGGTAAATGCGAAAAGTTTTATTTTCTTTTACGTACCATGTTTCGTTCGTAGAAAATCTACGAACCCCCTGTGAAGCTATTTCATGAATATTTATGTAGCATGGACCAAAATAGGCCAATGAACGATGAGGAACCTGGAGATGATATTTGATTGGTTGAATCAAAGTGATCGATCACCAAATAAGGTTAGTCTTATGAATCATGCATGAAAATACGCTCGTCACACATACGATACACATTATATGAATAATGATGAGTTGACCAGTGATGATAGGCGATTGGGCTGACGCCCGCGCCGATGTCAGTCTCCATAACGCGATCAGTATATTTGCCATAAAGCCCGACGCATATCGGATAGGCTACTTCCGGGACAACTGTCATCAAAGACAAAAGTGCATCCAGACAATTAATCTCTTTGACAATCTCTCCACAGAGCAACTACATCCCTTGGCAGAGGCGGCCCTCCCGGGGGGCAGGGGGGCACAGTGCCCCCCACTATTTCAGATACCCCAAAAGTGCCCCTTTTTAGATAGGAAAAGTGCCCCTTTTATTTTGTAAGAATTGCCCCTTTTACATAGGAAAGGTGCCCCTTTTACTTTGACAAGTGCCCCTATTACTTAGTAAAAGTGCCCCTTCCCCCTTTTCACCTCTGACGAGTGTCCTTTTTATTTTTGACACGTGCCCTTTTTCCTTCGACATGTTCCCATTTTCCTTTGCAATAAGTGTCCATTTTCCATTCTCATCAATCTTGAAATTATTTTGAATAAGTGCCCTTTTTAATCTCTAGTAAGTGCCTCTTTTCAGGTACGAGAAGTGCCCCTTTTCACTTTTAATAAGTGCCCCCTTCACCTCTGATTATTGCCTTATTCAAAACTGAGAGGTGCTCCTTTTACTTTGACAACTTCCCCTTTTTTCCTTTGTAAGAAGTGCCCCTTCTCCTTTTAATAACTACCCCTTTTTTAACCTCGGATGAGCGCACCTTTCATTTTAACATGTGCCCCTCTTATTTTCGAATAAGTGCCCCTTTTCCTTATGATAAGTGCCCCCATTAAAAAGAGGGAGCTCCTTCCCCTTCTCACAACTACCCCTTTCCCTTTCTAATAAGTGTCCCTTTTCCTTATGATAAGTGCCCCCATTAAAAAGAAAGAGCTCCTTCCCCTTCTCATAACTGCCCCTTTTAAAAATCTGAACAGTGCCCCCTTTTCATTCACCAAATGCACATTTTCCTTTATTATAAGTGCCCCTTTTACATTTTCATAAGTGCCCCTTTTCATATCTGGTCAGTGCCCCTTTCAACTCTGATAATTCCCCTTTTAATAATGATACGTGCCCCTTTTCCTTTCTAATAAGGGACCTATCCCCTTTTCACCTCTTATAAATGCCCCTATCAAAATCTGATGGGTGTCCCTTTTCCGTCAACAAATGCCTATTTCCCATTTTCGTAAACGCCTCTTTTTCATCACTGGTGAGTGCCTCTTTTCAGGTGAAAAAAATGCCTCATTTTCACCCTTATAATTATCCTTTGTACTTTGACACGTGCTCCTTTTCTTTTCTAATAAGTGTCTTATCCCTTTCGATAATTGTCCCCTTTTCATGTAATCATTAAACGTACCCCTTATTTAAAGCGACTAAGAGCAATTTCCCCCAAAGTTCGCTCGCTGCGCTCGCTCGCATTTAAAGATGATATAATTATGTTACTTATCAAAGGTCTTTTCAGTCTTCCGTTATGAGAATGTGCTTGTAACCCCATCACGATTGGCTTTTTTCCTCTCTATAAGATGTAATTTTTCACACTGCGACCTCACAGATCTTTAAAATTGTTCTTGCTCGCTTCGCTCGCTCGTAAATGCATATTCAGACATCACACCCAACTGTAAAGTATGATGCTTAAGCGATATCTTGTATGATGCATGAAGAGAAACAAATATTGAAATCATCCCTGATAATGTAATCACAATGTAGGGGTATATACCAATGTCTAAAAAATTGTATATTTTCGCTTTGAGATTTTCCACTGTAGGTGCCCTTTTTTGTTAGTGCCCCCCCCCCCCACTTTGGAAGTCGCTCGGCCGCCCCTGTCCCTTGGAGACTCACATCGGGAAAAACTACCCTCGAAATGCAAACCCCATCATAAATAGGCCTACTTCTCCATAATTGGGGAAAGTTGGCGTCATTGTCATAGAGCAGTTTTGCGGGAGGGACGGTAGGCTATAATTATTTACTTTTTTTTAATAGAACAACAAGTAATGGAACGTTAAAAAAATAATCTTACCACGCATTGATAAGCAATTACAGTTGCATCTCTCTAGAAAGAAGTCCGATAAACATTCTAGAACACACTCCGAATATCCGTAGGTCTCAAAGTACTTTAGGGTGTTGTTTTCACATCGTCCATGAGGGTGCTTTAAGTTATGATACTAATGGGCAATAATACCAAAAAACAGATTGGCGACAATGTCAATGATAATAGTAGTATTAAAACTGTCAGTTGAGATATAGGGTATCATGTATCTTTAAAAGTATATCCTAAAGCTTGCCTTCATTTGTTTGTTGTTCGCTGCCAAAGATTTTCTTGTTTTTTAAGATTTTCTGTGTGTGTTTTTTAAATACATTTTTTTTTATATGAATATCATTGTTGAACATTATATTTGTACTATTCAACTTTTTTTCTTCCATGCCCCAGAAAATATATAAAATTCAAAATGTTTTAATTATGTGGAAAATGAGAGATCTCACTTTTAATGGTAGAGAATAATTGTTTTGTTAGCGTCTCAAATTGTGCATTCCACAAGTGTTGTTACCAGTACCAAAACATGTTTTACAAATATTGAATAGACTATTGTTTTGTTTCTTATGGAATTCCCAAAAATAGACAAGAAATTATTTCGGGACGGAAAAAAAAAAATATTTCTTACTTCCGTAATTTCAACGCCGACTCTTGTTTCCATCCCGATGGCAACGCCAAAAGCTCCCTTCTCGACTAAAGGTTCGGTCCCGTAATCGTAAAGGAGGACCTCGAATCCAGCGCCGATCTTACCGAAAGGCTGGAAGTAGTAGGCATGCTGGGCGGCGTTTAAGTTTAGATGTAAAGCATATTTCAACCCTAGGGGAGAACAGGTAGATTTAATGTATTAATGATACTGATGAGGCTACCCTGGGTTTTAAAAAGAAGTAATATTAGTGTACTTATTAATATCAAGGGAATCTGTTTTTACTGATTTTGATCACATACATCTTCAAAATGTTCACGAACATTTCTTTTCACGAAAGCTGTTTTTTAAGGTTGTCTACAAAGGGGAGGTAAATTACGTGTAAATTAATATCAAAGTGGGATTGTACCTTGTGTCAAACATTCTAAAACTCCATTGTCTAGCAATGAATATTGTGTGGGTGGGGGGGGGGGGGGCAGTCGATCTTTTTTGTGATGAATGGGCAGATTTTATCAGGGTTTGTACTCGGATTGTACCAGACAAGTTGGAACCGACGAGATAGCTGTCCGGTTTGGCGGCGTCCGGGTGATACTAAACGCGGCAAAACTTACGAGCCCGTTGCACACGAGGCCTTATTTCTATTTCGCCATTCACGGACATCCGGGTTTGTATAAAATGCACAAACCAGGTCCAGGGGCAATCTCAAAGAACAGAGGCAACCCCCTGAAGGAGGTTGGAATCTTTGGGAAGATTTCTAGTTTGTCCGGAAATTTTGAAGAAACTCTCGCTATATAGCAATCTACGGGGGTGTCCCAAAATCAGGCCAATTTTCCCGTCATAATAAATAGACCAGTTCGTAGTTAGCACATGGTTCAGATGACCCCAAATATCTACAGATCTTTTAAACATAGATAAATCCCATATTGTGCCTTTTGGAACAATCACAGCTAAAGTCATGGAGGTGATTCTTTGTTTGCCCTCTTAAAAGGATTACTTCCACCTGTGTTCAATGGAATGTATCACAGGTGCATGCAGTAGGTTTTACAATATTGTGTACAAGTGACCTTTATCTGCGCATGCGTAGTGTTTTGACCCGCGAGCTGAAAAATTGGCCTGTCGGTGGGGGCGCTGTTAATTGTCAATCCACCCTATGTTAGCGCCCTTTTTCGTCGTGGTAGAATGATGCATATCGTGTGCAACGGGTTTTTTACGGCTGAGGTAGCATACCAGAACTCTTGACCATCAATTGCGGAAATCCATTGTCGATGTCATTAAAGACAATGCACACACCCGCATCGGTGACTCGACGAGTGAAATTGGCGTGCGTCAATTCTCTGCCATTCCAGGACATTCTAGAGGGTTACAAAGGGGAAAAAGGACAAAAGGTAAAAAGCAACAAAACAAATGGCTTAAATATAATGTACACGGATTCGGAAAGCTGAACATATCGGCGACCTCGGAAATTGGCAATCACACAACGAATAGTTCGTATTGCAGTAATGTTCAAGCATTTCTTGTAGAAATAATAAGCGCGTCAGTGGCTTATTAATTATACCTTGTTGAAAAATGTTCATTCCTTTGAAGAATGCTCGTACAGATTTCAAATGCACTGAGATAAAGAAGAACATGGCGTACTCACCCTAGTGGTAGTGTGAGTTCAATGTCATGTCCCATTTCTCGAAGCACTCTGGTCATTTCATAGGCCTCGAGCTCAGATCTGTATTTAGTCAGATTTACCGAAGGGTAATTAAAGTGCATATCAGGAAGAAAGTCCTCGAAGACGGTTCCGGTCACTGCTCGTCTCCTGTGTAATTAGGCCACGAATGAAAATTAAAAAAAACATGTTGCAAATCGAACCCGTGTGTAGTATTGGTTAAAGGAGCTACACAAAGAAAAATTCACTACATCTGATAATTGGAACAAATTACAAATGGATGGAAAGATTTTCTCTTGAAAAACACGAATAATTTGCTGATAAATCATATAGATATCATATAGATATCATGAAAAGGCGTAAAATTCAATTTTTCAAGACCCTTCTTAGACCCCCCGAACGCCCCTGAACGTAAGCCAAACACACGAGCGTAGCGAGCTTTGAATAGTGACGTCACACTGGACAAACAGCTCAGTAACGGAGTCGCGCGTGTAGCATGCAGTCTACAGCTAGCCGTGTTCCGTGTGTGACGTCACAAATATTGACGCTCTATCCGCTGAAGGCAGAAAATCTGGATCTCAAAACTAACATTTTTGAGAGTTGATTACTGCGGGCCCCAAACATATTTTGAAGAGGAGAGTTGTTGTATTTGATCAGTAAGGCTTCCCCTTCGCAATGATATGAGTTTTGCATCAATTCAAAACACTTTGTTTCTTCGTGTGTCTACTTTAACACCCAAACTTGATTTTGTCACATTTATTTCGATTTTTAGTTCACACAATAAAGAGATTCTCACTATTTCAGAAACTCCTTTTATCTAAGCTACCGTGATAATGCGATGATGCATGAAAAGGATTTATTTCGCTTGGGTTCCCATCCACTTCACCGCGGTGGAAGATGACAAATGTGAATTCGTGTCTTGCCAAAGGATAATGGTGCCGCGGCGGTGATTCGAACCCCGTAATTTATATGCTTCGTTGTTTCGTGACCTATCCACTAGACCACGACATCTCAATAATAGCAGTGCACGGATCTGCCCCAGAGAACATTTCGGACATGCTGACCCCCTATAATCCTCGAGAAAATTTGCGATCAGCAGGTAAACATCTGCTTGAGAGTCCTTGAACACGTTTTCTGCTTGGCGATAGATCATGCACTGCTTCTGCACTCAGGTTGTGGAACAGTTTTCTTCAGAGTATCTTTGATCTTGCGATCTGAGATACACTTTTAAAGATTATCAACACTAGTGTGGCTAGGAGGGATTAGACCACACAGCGAGGTCACTGACATGTGGCTATCTCATCAACTCAGCTCTCAAATAGCATAAGAAATAGAGGATCATGGGGGACCAACAGGCACCGATTGGGGAAGTTTTCTATATAGAGGGAGCAAGTAGCTACAAGTAGGACAGTGGGGCTTAAAACCCAACTAAATACATAGGCATACTCATTGCACATCGCTTGTAACTAGCCACTACCCCAGTCCAGGGGCGAATCCAGACGGCGCCAGGGGAGGGGGCCCAATTCGTGAGAAAATATTTAGCGGCGAAACAGCCGGCCGATAATTCGCTCAGTGGGGGGGGGGGGGGGGGGGGGGGGGGTGAGCATTAATCGCACCCCTCCCTTGAGCGCCAGGAAAGGGGGTCTATCTCCAAAAAAAGGTAAAATTACCGTGTTTTCACACGTTTTTCCCCTGGATCCGCCACTGCCCCAGTCTCTCCCGGGTGCGTTATTTTTTTCTGCGGCACAGATTGGGGTGAGGTGCGTGTTGAGCCTATGGGAAAGTTTAGGGTTAGGGTTAAATCAAGACCTCTTTTTTTTTTTAAAGCCACAATTTGTGCCGCAGAAAAAAATCACGCCTCCCGGGTGCATCATGAATGGCATATTCAGTAGTTATACAGTCTCATCAGCGCCTTTGACCGATATTGGCGCTCTAAAAATTCCTTGAATGGATCGGATTTGAATATCACCTACCTAAATTGGTTGATGTTACAGATAGCGACTGAAGGGAAAGGAACCTCTTCCTTGTAGTCGATGCTGATGTCAACGTCCTTCGGATGGGACGCAAAAAACAGGATCCTATCAATGACCTGGCCGCCCGTCATACAGAAAGCAATGAACACGAGGAGAAGCCATGTCAACCTTTTGAAACAAATTGATAAATAACGTACAATATGCAAATTCGCGGCATACATCTTATGAATAAGGAGGGCAAGTGGTCTTACTGCATGGATTATTCTCTTGTTCTTTTTGCTTACCCCCCCCCCCCCGGTATCATATGGAGAACAGTATGAATACTGATGAGGCTACCCTGGGTAAACAAGACATAATTATTATTATTATTATACTGTGGTCGCAAATAACACCTTTTTACACTACTGCTTCGTTATGCGTAATTATTGTTCAACCAATGGGAAAAGAATTTCCTTGGCATGACAGATGAATCAATAAGTTCAAATTCAAATTCAAATTCATCTCATAGGCCTTCTGTCAACTTTTCTGTGGTTCTAAGAGACTGAAATTGTTTGTCTGCTTAGCTCTTGGTGGACAGGTGTATCCAAACTAAAATAAAATCGATCGGATAATTCGTACTGACCTTCTTAGTTTGATCTCACGTGGATTAAAGGCGTACCGAATACCAGCCACGCCTATACCATCGGGGACGAATCTGTACAATACCGCAAACCAAGACATCCTGTCGTTATACGACGGCGGATACGGCGTCCGTTTCATGTCCATCATTCCCTGGTCGACCATGGAGCTGATGGTTTGCTCCTTAGCCGAGGTTGTCTTCATCGGCTCGACTGTCATCTTCTTAATTGGCATGATGTCGAAGAGTTTTATAGGGATCTTAAGTGACGATGGCGGCGATGACGAAAACTAGAAGACTGTTGCAGGTTGCATTATTTGCAAAAGCAGTGGGTCGCTGTAGAATTTGAAGTAACGACAAAATAAGAAGATGAAGAAAAACAAATCGCCTAGTAAAATCTTCGTAATGATTCTCGAAGAGTATTATCAATAATGAATACCGAATAATGGACTTCGATGTCTTCTATTCTGAAGAAAGGCCCAATCGGCTACAAACTAATAGATCGGTTAGATAGGTGCTAGAGATCCGGCGTCGCCACGATTCCGAACTTGGGCAGTATGGCTCACAAATCTGCTCAGTTTTAAATTCTGGTGTTGATGAGACCATTTGGTAACTCAATCACGAATATTAGAGTATAATTATAAAAGCTTTCTTTCTCATCCTCCTGTAACTTCTTCTAAAATCAGAAGGATCGCGTGGTAAAGGGAGAGAGGATTTAATTTACACCCACTTGGAATCCTCGTTTAGGTCTTGTAACACATGACATGCCTTTGTAAAATAAAAAATTGTAATGATCTATTTCCGCATATCTAGAACTTACCAGATCTACTATTGCAAATGAAGCAATTGCATTCATTCCACAACTATCCTACTATAAATTTTGCAACAAATGCTGAGTAAGATTTAAGCAAAATGATAGCGTACATGACACTGGACAGAACTGTTCCAAATTAAAAAGTACCTTGAAATATATTTTGGTTTATTCTCCGACGAATCAATCAAAATCAAGATTTCGCAGCTTTAGATTTTTACAAGATGTTAACGAATGCAAGAATTTCCAGACGGACTCCATTCAGCAACAACTAAAGGATCGTTTCTGAGAGACATAAGAAGAGTTACGAAAGTGAGGTCATAAATTTATCGAACGATATTTGATTACATAAAGGGGGTAGCGGCAGACACAGCTAACAGTAGCGTAAGTAGATAGACAGTGGCGTAGCATGGGTCCATACATTGAAGGGGGCATCCGCGTCATTATGGGGGGGGGGGGGGCGATAGCGCTGGTCTCACTCGGTTAATTAAATGCAGTACGAATGGAGAAGACCATGGATAGGGCTGTGGTAGCCTATGTTGGTGTAGGCTCTTGACTGTAAGACGTGATTTCCTGGGTTCGATCCTTGCTCGGCGATTGCATCCTTGGACGAGGTGTATTAAATAGGTGCCTGACAATGCTGGGGTAATATTCATTTCATTTCGTGTATTTTTCCTCATTCCAGCTTTTAAAAAAACCTCAAAATTATACAAAATAATGTACATTATAAAATAAAAAGGATTACATAGAGATGAAAAGAAAAACAAGTACATGTAGGTAACAAGGGGGAAATAGTGAGTAAAGGTGATAAACCAGTATTCTCCCCCATCTCCTCCTCTCTCTATCTCTCTCTCTCCCCTCCCCCATCTCCCCCCCCCCCTCTCTCTCTCTCTCTCTCTCTCTCTCTCTCCTTCACTAGTGTTCGATTAGAGAGAGGCATTGTGCCCCCGTAACACAACATAGCCGCAAGTTTGCAACCAATGACGCGGGCTTTTCGTTCGCCTTTTTTCGACGTTACGTAATCGAATCTATAATCGGATCTCAAACACTTTCTTCACTTCCGTCAAATGCTTTTTGCGATTATCGAAATATTTTTTTTCGCGCGATCATTTCACTAATGGTATATTATTGATTGATTCTCCAATGGTTCATTATTTGTCCCATACTTTGTTGTCATGGTGAATGCATGTACATAATAATGTGACTAAAACTAACACAATTAAGGCCAATTAGCCAAATTTAATACATTGGTTTTCTATTTATTTTAACTTCCGTCAAATGTTTTTTGCGATTATAATTTTTTTTTCTCGCGATCATTTCTCTAATGGTATATTATTGATTGATTCTTCAATGGTTCATTATTGGTCCCTTACTTTGTTGACATGGTGAATGCATGTACATAATTATGTGACCTAAACTAACACAATTAGTAAGGCTAATTAGCCAAATTTAATACCTTGGTTTTCTATTTATTTTAACCTCCTTGGTAAGAGGAGGCAGGGAGAAGATGAAAATGCAGACCTTGAGGGCAAATGAGAAGGGATTTTCAAATCATGTTTCCAACACCTGATACGGGTTGGTACACTTGTTGAAATTAGGTTTGCATTTGGCGAACAACAAAGTTTAAATTGAACGGATTACAATATGATATTTACACTACGTTCAAGCCTGGCGATTCTACAAGAAAAAGTAAAATCGTGCTTTTTAATTGGACATTATCCACATAGCTTCTCTTCACCCATGTGTTAAAGGCAGTGGTTTCTACTGACACTACTTCATATTACGTATACTGCCATCTGCTGCTCACAATGTACCGATATGTCGACAGCCGTTGCCCACAATGCATCACTATCTATGTGACGCGTGCGTGATGATGCTTGGGTACAGGAACCGGAAATCGCTCAATATACGCCTTCACCAAAAGATGGCGCAATTGAAAGTACATTACAGCAGTGGTAGCGATGTCAATAAAAGACGCTTCCTTTATTAAAACGGGTAACTGGTAGGAATACATACGTCATTGTATTTTGCTCTATCGTGAGCATCTAAACAATGTCGCCTAAATGAAATGCACTCAGGGACGGGGGCACGATAAGGGACACATTTTCTTTCTTGACTTTAAGTGTGTATAACAAAAAATAAAGGGTTTTGCTCGGGGCGTGGCAACGGCCCCATGCCCCTGGACAGGCCAGTTCATCTAGAAACACGCACAAATTCCTGGCTCATTTGAGGAGTTCTTCACAATCAGTTTGGCTTCGATTTGTATAATCATCTATATAGCCCTCCCAACCAACTGTTTAGGTTGCAAATAATGATACTTATAATAATAATAATAACAACTATAATAATAATAATGATAATAATAACTTTTCTCGGAAATATCTGAATGTCTTACAATTGAGCAACTCGCCCACTGTCCACAACAAGGCCTTTACTGTCATTGGCAAGACATACTTCTTTTAATGCCTTCTTGTTGGCATTCAGCCGACGAGCTCATATCAAAAATATAGCATGATGGGAAACCTTTTTTCTTTAGGCAAACAAAATCCCATCGTTTTCCTTCTGAACGACAGTTGACTTATTGTTCCAAATTTCCTTTTAAAGGTACTATGTCCCATTTGCAGGCCAAAAAAAATGAAAAAGTTAAATTCCAACTGCATTTGAAAGATAATACTTATTTAGAACTTCCCTAAAAAAGGTGGGGCTTGAAAATGTCTTCAAGTGGGAAAATAATGACTATTAGTTGTCAAATCGACTTGAGGGCTATAGAGCCCAAAAGTAATAGTCTTGATTTTCAGACAATTGTACCGAATGGTCATACGTTTTATGCTGCGCAAAGATTCAATCAGTTTAATCTTGGCCATCACAAGAAGTGGGTTATTGATGTAGACAAATGCTTATGTACCCTTTACAACTCTTTTCATGTATGTTATCACCAAAGAAGAAAAAAGCCAGTCAGTCACTCAATAGTGTCTGACAGTGCAGTCTAGCAAGTAAACGGGTTTCCTTGCATAATTTGAATATGAGGACACTGCTAACGTTTAAATTTCACAGATAGGACATACATGACATATTCATAATTCCTGCAAAGTTCTACAGAATTTGAGGTTGGCTGCAAAAGGGACATAGTACCTTGAAGGCCACTTTTGTTCGTTAATTGACTTTGTAATGAATTCCATGAAACTGGTCCTTAATTATAGTGTTGAGTTCTTCATGTCTCCTCCCCCTAATATCTCTCTCTCTCTCTCTCTCTCTCTACTTGAGTTCCTCTCACCCTGTCGCTTTATATCTCTCTATTCATATACAGCCAAACCTTCTTTAGTGACCCCCTGTCTATATAGACCACCTGTCTAAAAAAGACCAAATTTTTCGTTTCCCTTGAAAATGGTTTCAAGGAACCTGTCTACGCGGACCACTTTTTGTGTTCACCTTGGGCGGTCGCTATAGACAGGTTTGACTGTGTATATTATATATGTACATGTTTATATCTTCTTCTTCTTCTTCTTCTCTCTCTCTCTCTCTCTCTCTCTCTCTTTCTCTACTTCTCACTTAATTAATCATCTCTCTACCCCTCCATTTCTCGATCTCTCCATATCTCTTTTACGGTCTCCTGCCGTCATGGTCTTGTTCAGGGGTTTAGTTATTGAGATGGTAGATAGATCTGACTCGTTCAGCCTACCATAGTTAAGATACATTGATAAACTGTTGTAGTGTCTAAATAACCTGAAGCCCATATACGTCGTATTTTCTTCGCACGACTTTGCGCTCAATCGCAGCCAGAATCTTCCCATGTGAGTCCATCTGCGGGCACCGAAGCGAATGGTACACCGAGCGCTCACCTTCAGCTCCGAAACTCCCTACATGTCGCATCCCCCGCCGGGTACGCACCCCGTAACCCTTAGCAACGGAGGACGCTGTCTTTATGGCAACCAGCCTCCCCCGGAAAGGCACGACTCTTTCAACTGTCACCGCGACCTTTTGAACCGCCTAAAATGGGGATCAATACCTTGAACTAAGCCAAGAATATCTGTTGACAAGCAGGGACCTCTATTCTATAATAAGGTGTATTTGAAGGGTAAATAAGGAAAGATATGTTTTCATGATACCTGATCGTCTTTCTTTCTGATTTTTAGTCAGCCTGGTGGTTCGATAGGTTTCCCTATAGAATATACGGAATTCAAGCATTTATATACGCATTCTCACATGCCTTCCTCACATCCCGGTCCTTTTCTCTTTGTTATTCTTAAACATGTTTCCTCACGGTTTCCTCACTGTTCGTAAACGCTCGTTTAACTTCCGTTATCTCATCCCGTGATGATTCTTTTACTATCAAAATTAATACAAGTATGGTAATGGTAATGTAGATGTTCTTCCTTAAAGTTATTGTACCCCTTTTGCAGCCAAAATCAAATTTTGTTGAACTTT